ATAGTCCTGTCTCCGTACGTCGCTCCCTCTGGAGCGGTGTGACCTAGTCCTTGATGTAATCCCCATAAAGACGCAGATCACCAGCTTTCCCTTCTTTTGTTGTTGTACTCATGTCCGAGTGGTGACCCTCTCAGGACGGAACGCTCTGGGTGGTTCAGGGAAGGCCCTCACCGGTCCCCCAGAATCACATACCAGAACCGGAGCGTTTCACTATCCTTCAAGGTCTCTTGGCTTAGGCCAATACTGGTTAACCCCTCTCCCCCCCCTCTCCCCCCCCCCCCTTTCCGTTCTTTCGTCCTCGCCTTCTCCTGGCCTCCCTCATTGATCGTGCAACCGCGATGCACCCTGGTCGAGCTCTACGCTGAGATCGTGGAGTTCCTTAACGATCCACAACGACCCCTGAGTGTGGGCGTCAATGGCGTATGCATCACGATTCAATCCTTCGGATCCGGCAATCGCAGCGTGGATATCGGCGTCAACGCCTTGATCATCCATGCAGCGGTCGCGAACGACTACTCTGTCCTAAGCGTTCAGGACAACACACCACGACATGGCCCAGGATCCAGTCTGCCCCATGAGTCAGCGGGACACACTCGAGCAATGCCTGTTTCACCCGGCTGCTCCTCAGCTCGATGTCTCATTCCGAGCCCCAAACCAACAAGGCGACTACACTACGCGCCCAAAGCAAGAGCACGGCACCCGTGTCCCAGCAAAGGCGACTGGTGCGAGGAAGCACCACGAAACCAAGGAGGGCACCACGAGCAGAGACCGTCGCTCATTCACCAAGCCGAAAGAACCCGCTACCCTGGCGGCCCCCGGCGCAGGCCAACCACATTCAGGTGGCGGATCCTGCAAGAGGAGACGTCAATCGCGCGAGAGGCTGAGCGCTTCTCGAGCGGTAACCTCATCGTCAACCTCGACATGACGTCGGGCACATGCTCCCACATCTCATCGACACCGGAGTCGAAGTCTCCCCATTCCTCGCTGGATCCAAGAGACCCTACCTGAGCATCGCCCCGACCTCTCTTTCATCGCACAGGCCACTGTACCCGCCCACAAGCTGCGGGGCTCTATGGAGATCACTTCCTCTGGACGCAACACCGAGCCCGTGCGTATCTGACTCTGCGTCACCGACAATTCCCTGCGAGGCTCTCTGCTCTTCTAGCAGACAGCCAAGCGTCTATACCCCGCGTTCCAGGCCTCGGTGGAGGAAAGCGCATCCTCCTCCCTGCCTCTTGAACGCCCACTGGAGGACCATCTACCAAGTCCTCCGTCTCATCTGCAGCATGACCTCCACTTCGACATCGACCCCTCAGGTCATGCTCAGACTCAGGTTCCTGCTTACCAGGGCTCTATGTGCCCTGAATGTGGGGAGCTTGCTTAGAAGACTCGCGAGCTGTCTGAGCACCCCACACCCCTGAATATTGAGCTGAACTCCAACAATCTTGACCCTTCACTGGACCCCGGCACAACAGGCATGCGCATCAGCATCGCCACTGAGCTACGTAACGCCCTCGAGAAGGCTACCGAGCATATCTCCGCCGCCCACCTAATCGTCGTGCCAAAGCCCGGCACCGACAAGCACCATGTCCACACCGACCTCCGCGTGGCCAACCAGTTCGTCAAGATGATCGAGGCCCCCATTCCTCGGGCCCAACTTCTGCTCAAAGAAGCCGCCGCTGCGCGGGGCTTCTCTGCCCTAGACCTCTTCAATGCTTTCTTTCACATCCCGGTGGATTCGAACAGCCGGGACTGTCTTCGCTTCCGCTTCCACGATGAGTACTATCGCTGGAAGCGCATGCCCTTTGGTCTCAACATTCCCACTCCGGTTTTCACCACCGCCATGGACCAAGTCCTGCTGCCCGTGCAGGATTTCGCGGTAACCTGTGTGGACGATATTCTCATCTACTCGTCCTCCGAAGACGAGCCCATTCAGCACGTAAAGCAGGTGTTGAAACTCCTCCACGATTGCCACGCCAACATCAACAATGAGAAGTGTCATTTTGGCGTGGATGAAGTTGTCTTCCTGAGCCACAGAATCGGCAAAGGCCAGGTAGATATCACTTTCGACAGGCTCGCCTGCATCAAGACAGTGCCGCGACCGGAGCGAGTTACCGAGCAGCGAAGCTTGCTCGGTATGATCAACTATGTTATGGAATGGATCTCGCATGCTGCGGAGGTCCATGCTCCACTCTTCGCACGAGCAAGGGGTACCGGTCCTGGTGCCAATAACAAGTGCCGCCCCCTACGTGCTAAACATCGATGCTTCCGACATTGGCATCGGTGTAGTGTTTCTACAAAAGGACTCTAAGACCATCGAAACTGGCCAGTACGCTCCAAATGAGGATGAGGAGAATTGGTCAAGGATCCTTCGGCAACTCAAGCCCATTTCCTACTTCTCAAGGAAATCGAGTGCCCCAGAGACACGCTACCCTCGCATGAACGCGAGTGCTTGGTGATGGTGCATACACTGAGTCAGTGGGACCACTAGCCCCACCATGGGTGGCCAGTAACCATCCTCACCGACCACTCTGTCAACGTGCACTGATACAGCCAGAAGTCGCACCTCCCTCGCATCCTCCGAGCCACGAACGCGCTAGCTAGTATCCCCGGCCTAGAATCTACCACTCGCCCGGTAGCAAAAACGTGGTGGCCATGGGACATTCCAGACCCCCATGCAGGTGGACGAACAGCATATTCCCATCCTATGGATGTGCTCCCTTACAACCCCATGCAGGCCAAACAAACAAAGACTTCGCCCAAGGCGAAGCTCATCCACGTGCTGACATATGTGCCATCTTTCCCACTCACATGGGCGAGCTCCCAATGCACCAGCAGCAATCCGCCTCCTCGTCAGTCCTTGATTTGAACTTCAACAAGCACCACGAGGTAATCGTCCCTTCAGTCTCCTTGCTGAATACGATCAAGGCCCCAGCGCAAAGCCGCCATGCCCAAGTACATCAAGACCGACAATGAACGAGTCTTCACCAGCAGCCACTGGAAAGAGACACTGCAGCATAGGCATCCAGACAGAGATCGCAATTGCCTACAAGCTCTCAGTCCAATGGCCTGATCAAAAGGGCCATCCGATCGTGGAAGCAAAGTCTCACGATCCTCTCCTCGGGAGTCCTCACACCCTTGGAGCGTGGTACCTGCCTAGTCAGCAAGCAGCTACCAGTTATAATCCCATCTCCAACTACACCGGATACTCGACCTACCACATGCTCACCGGACTTCCGGACAAGCAAAAGGACGACCTCATGTTCGCCCCCTAAAAGGTTTCCCGTACAACCGCACGCCTCCGATGCAGGTACCCGACGATCTAGACCAAATCAGGTAAAAAAGTCACCGTCAAAGCGGAAATTGCAATCATCCAGCGGCGTGAGCGCCTGCTCGAAGACTCGCATCCGCACGGCATCACCAAAGGAGATTCAGTGTATGTTGAACTAAACAAGCAAGAGCGCAATCTCAAAAGGCGCTAAGCGAACCATCGCCCGAGTATCTACTCAACCCAGGCGAAAACCCCAAGTGAAAGGCAACAATCTAGCACTCGTCCAGACTCTCCAAGGATATATATCCAGGAAATTTTTTTTTTTTCTCGACCAAGTGCAGAAACTGCCACCCCAACTCACGCTTGACGACACCCGTACACGGTACACCCTGAATGACAGATTCAGCAATGCACCCGAGCAGACGCTCGGGGCCGACCGATTGGATGTCAGAAGCGAGAGCGCACAAGAGTGACTTTGTCACGGCGGGGGGTTCCCATCCCCCACCCAGTGTCGCCACAGTGCGATAATAGTGACATTCGAAGAGCGAACCCATCGTCCCCACGACGATCCAAATCGATGGGTTCGCTTTTCAAAACACCAATGTAACCATAATGTCACCTCCGACATTGCGTCGGAACTTCGCTCCGCTCACCTCCTCCGCACCTGCCTCACCTCGCCCTGCTCTGTTTTCCCCCTGCTGCCACATCCCTGCTAGATCTGGTCATGACCTTCACGTGATCGTATAGCAACGAGGTCCACTAGTCGACCTGCACTTCCCCGTTGGGGGGTGCTGGCGTCGCCGGAAGGGCGACGCCACCCATTCTCTCTCAATTCCCATGTATTCCCATGTATTCCCCCTTTTCTGGGCACCCTATATAAGGGGCCCCCGTTCCTGCCTCCCCTCCAAGGACTCAGCACCTTGAAGGATAGTCATTCTCTCTTACGGAGGTTTGATTTCCCATAGTCCTGTCTCCGTACGTCGCTCCCTCTGGAGCGGTGTGACCTAGTCCTTGATGTAATCCCCATAAAGACGCAGATCACCAGCTTTCCCTTCTTTTGTTGTTGTACTCATGTCCGAGTGGTGACCCTCTCAGGACGGAACGCTCTGGGTGGTTCAGGGAAGGCCCTCACCGGTCCCCCAGAATCACATACCAGAACCGGAGCGTTTCATTCGTGGGCCCTCTGGGCCTCACCTCCCCTCGGCCCCCCCCTGCCCTGCTGCTTCTCAGGGTGCGACGTGGGCGCCAAGGTTTGGGATGACATGCTGGAGGAGGGACACGCCTATCAGGTGTATTTTCCAAGCCCGCGGACGGCTGCCTTAGGACCGGCGATTGCCAGGCAGGAGTCAACATACGCATGGGCTCAGGCAGGGGCAGACATACGAGATAAAAGGCTCCGTTCAATCGTCTTGCGCCCGGTACTCATCGGCCTTGCGGAAGTTCTTCGAATGCATCTTGCGCCCCGTGCCCCACTCGAGAATCAGCTGGTCCTCCCGGTGGAGGTCCAGCACGCTGGGCTCAGGGGGGGCTTGGTCCTCGCGCAAGGGGGTTGTCCCGTATGCCTGGGCACATTGGAGGGGGTCAGTGGATGCCTGAAGGCTGCCAATCCGGTCTCGGAAAAGAGGGGAGAGCAAAATGGGGGGGGGGGGAGAGGCGGGGGGAGGAACGCGACAACACACTTACCTCAATCTCAATCACCTCGAAAGGTGACTGCGTGGCCAGGCATGGGGAGCCGAAGGTCGAATTCAAAGGTGACCCCTCGGACGTGCAGGCAGCCCCGAGGGCGGAGGGGATCCAGAGACCGTAAAAGCCATGAAGACCGCCAAGGCCCTATGGAGGAGGAGCGTGTCAGGAAATGGGGGGCCGCCACTGTGGTCGGAAAAAGAAAGGAGAAAGACGACAACATGCGAATCAACACACCAGGCCATTGGGCAGGGACTTGACCCCGGTGTTAAAGTACAGGATGTTCTTGTTGAGACCAGTCGGACGGAAGATCTGAAGATAGTCCCCTTTGAGGGTAAAGAGGAAGGTCATGTCCGGGCAGCCCGTGAAGGCGGGATTCGGTAGCACATCATTGTTCAAGAAGCACCCTGCGCGCGCGTGGGCGGGTGGCGGGAGGGAGTAAAGGATCGAGCCAGGTCAGGAGGGCACATCTATCAAATGAGGGGCTAGAGGACGGAGAAGCAAATGAAATATGTACCAAAGGTGGCGCCATGTGAGTCGCGCAAGATCAGGAGCACGGGGCCCTGGTTGGTGATGCTGTCCGAGAGCCGGGCCCAATTCAGGCCATATGCCCGGTTGGAGTAAAGGAACTGGACAGAGGGCGGGTGGGCGTTGGAAAGGCGGGGTGGAGAGAGAGAGAGAGAAAGAGGGGGGGGGGAATAGGGTAAGTGAGAGAAACAGGGGATTGGTGGAGGAACATCGGAGTGGAATGTACATACTCGCCAGGCTGATTGACTTTCCTGCGGGAGCTGCTGGTTGAGAAGCCACATGAGATCATCGCTCAGCAGATTGCTGTACGAGGAAGGCCCAAGAAGGAGGGTCAGAGAAAGGTGCATCCCTGGGGCAGGGGGCTGGACAAGGGCGACTAAGAGAGGGGTGGGGAGGGGGGGGGGGAGCGCGCACGACTGGTATTCACTGAAGGGAAGCAGCATGCCTGCCGACTTGAGACGGGCATCTGTTTGGGCCGCATCCAGGGCCGCGGCCTGTGAGAGGTATGCTGCACTAAGTTTATCGCGGGAGACGGCCGATGTAGGGGGCACGGCGGCCGGGACCGGGGCCGGAGTCGGGGAGACCTTGGGCATGTCCTTGAAATCCAGCCAGGGGGTGTCGACACTCGCCTTGTGCGGCTCCTTGCCCTTGTAGAAGCCGAAAAAGATACGTTTCTATCACGTTGCGTAGGGAAGGGACGGGAGGTCAGTGACTATGTCGAGGGGGGAGGGGAGGGGGGGGGGGAGGGAATCACCGGCCGACAAGTACACACAATCCTGGAGTAGTGGAACACCACATTGGCAAGCAGCGAGTTGACCACCGCCTGGATGGACCCCCGAGCATGACCATTGACTGACAGGGCTGCACGTCCATCCACATAATACTCGTGCCTGATGGACACGGCTCTCTCCGAACGGGACAGGAGATCGGAAAACGCCTCGGCGGACAAGGTATCTGGCAGATCGGGGGTGGCCACCTGCATCAAACGGGGAGGTTAACACATGTGCTGAGGAGCAAATAAACACCGGGGCCATATGTGGAATACCTCCTCGAGAACAAACTTCTTGTGGTTTTTGAATCCCATGAATGGTGCCTGAAGCAGCGTTTCCACAAACTTGGGATCAGCCTGCTGACTATCGAAAGGGAAATGCCGGCCCTTGGTTACCTCCTTTGGCTGGGTGTGGGGGGGGGGGGGGAAGCCCGGGTCAATGTCGAGAGAGGAAAGGGTTGACGAAATAAACCGCCAGGGATGGTGACGAACAGCATATGGCCGGGAGTCGAGGACGCGCAGCACCCGCATGGCCGCTGAGCACACATCGTGGAGCCAATGCCGAACGGACTGGATGTTGACCTCCTCGGAGATGGCGGGCGCCGGCAGAGATGAGCCTGGTGAGGGGGCAGTGCTGCGCGGCTGGGCGGGCGCCGTGGGGGGGGCGGCACCCTTTTTCGCACCGGTCGTCTGGAGCAGGGTATCCAAGTGCGACAACCAGCGGAAGAGGGCTGCGTGGCGAATCTCCACAGGACCTCTAAGAGCCAGAGGGACAGGGACAGGGACAGGGACAGGGACAGAGAGAGAGAGAGAGAGATGGAGGAGATGGGGTGAGCAGAGCGGCATCGAATGGACTGGCGTCGGCGGTGTATAGCTGGGCGAACCGGGTGATTGATGCGATGGCATTAGCGACACCGAAAAAGGTGGCGCGGTCAGCCTGGAATCCCTCGACACGGGTGGAGCCGTCGATCGGGAAAGCAGCGGGCGCTCCGGCCGAATAGTCACAACAAACAAGGAAAAGCGCATGAGCGGTGATGCTGCCCAGCATAGGCACGAGTATCTATCCAGCAGGGGAAGAAGAAGCCGGAGTGGATGGCGGAGGGCAGGAAGAGCGACGAGTTAGACGCCAGTGCTTGCCAAAGGGCAGCGGAGGTTGGGAGACAGCATGAGAGGGAGGGCGGGCCAAAGGAGAAGGGAGGAGCGCACACGAAAGTCCGCGAGATCTAGACTCCAATCCTCCTTGCATGAAGACTTGAGCCAGAGAGCGGCCTCTGTAGCCTCTGGCTGGGAGAGGTGGGAGACCGCATTCGCAAGGAGCGGAACTGACTGCTTGTTGCCCATCCTGGCGGTGGGCGAGAGGGAGGGGAGGGGGTGAGGAGGGGAGTTGGGGGCGACCGGAGGGTTGGCAGGGGCGTCGGGCTAAAGAGGGATCAACAGTCACGAGGAGGAGGCAACGGAGAGAGAGAGAGAGGGAGGAGGCGGGAGGGGTGGTCGGGGGTGGATGTAGATCGCGCGGGAGAGGGGGCTTATTTCTTTGTTTTTTTGCTTGATCCCGCGGAGAAAAGTCAGGAACGCCCGGGGGCCAACGGAAACCGAGGGCCGCCCTGTGGCGGGGCTATCTTGTGGTGCCTTGCACCACCGCCCTCTTGGACAGTTGGCGAAGGGCGGGGGGGGGGGGGGGGGGAGCGGGGGGACAGGGCTGACACAGGCCTCGGGCACACAGCATGGGGGAGCACGCCGACTCCGGTTCGCTGGAAAGTGATCGGGCCAATCGCGGATCCTGTGCGCAGGCCACGAGAGCAGAGCCCATGGAGCGCAATATATAATCTTACTTATGGCATATATTCTGGCGGGTTTTGGCCGGAATTGTGCCCTGCCAACCGACGGCAGTCCGTGGCCCGGGGGCGGTTCAGCACTCTCTGTCAGGGGGTGCCAGTGTGTGGGAGCGCCCTCCCCCACCCATGGCTGCGTATGAGGACGCGGTCGGGAGAGGGGGGGGGGGCGATGTGCAGGCTGCGGGCCGCGGGCCGGAACGGAGTTACCTTGTCTTGCCTTTGTTTGCCCTGCTCGAAGGCCTACTTTCCGGGCTCCCGTCTGTTCTCACATGAGGGGGAGCCGTGCGTGTCGCTGGACCTCTTTCTTTGACACGAGGCATGCACCGCGACCGCGACACCGCCCAGGCCGGACTCCAGCCGCTTGGCCGGGCCGGGGGTCCGTGCGGGTGGGCGAGGGAGAGGGCAGGTATGTGCCCCTCTCTCTCTCTCTCTCTCTTTCTCTCTCTTGCCCCCATTCCACCCTTCTTCCTCTCGAGTGGGGCGGGGCGCGGCTTCTCGCGGCCTCCGCACACATGGGCATATCGGTTCTCGGCCTCGGACCGGGGAGCCGGAGCCCTCCACGGAGGGTCTGCTCCCCCCCGGCCCCTGCCCAGGAGGTGGCGGGGGGGAGGAGGAGGGGGAAGGTACTGGCAGTCTCTTGTCTGCGCCGGCCCCCCCCTCCCCCCCCCCCCCTGCAGACAACCCACCCAGGAAAGAGGGCCCAGGCACACCACACGGGCGGCAGGGTGTGTGTGGGGCGGGGAGAGGGGAACAGTTGGTGGATGGTTCCCCCACCGGAGTTTGGGCCCAAGCCCGTGATGGGTTGCACTTGAAGAAGACCCATGTTGGTGTGTCTCCAGAGGAGAAAGGTCTCTCTCTCTTTGCTTTTGTCGTGATTTTCCAATCCCAATCGTCGAGAGTATCAAAGATGGTTTGTCCCTCTCTCTCTCCCCCTCCCCCTCCCCCTCTGCGCCCCTCCCCTTCTCTCTTTTGCCTTTATCCTCTTCCCTACTCCGCGTTGGACACGGCACCCCTCGTCGTTACCCCTGGATCCTTCCGCACATCACGTCACACGCCAGTTTCCCCCCCTTTCGGACGTGGGGCGGGCGGTGTTCTTCCTGATGCCGCGCACCACTCTGTCACCTTCCCCCATTCCTGAGGCCCGGGCCGCACCACGCACCCTCCAGCCCGTGACCCCGTCTCCTCCATTTCCCCCGTCCACACGACTGACCCTTCGCATTTTCCCCTCTCCTCCCCTTCTCCTCCCTCCCCCAGGCCAAGCAGATCACCCACGTTAAGGAGTTCCTTACCTTCACCCAGCGCCAGGACGCCGCCCGTGCGTATTTCCCCCCTCCTGCTTCCTTCCTTGCCTCCCTCCCCGTTACATGCCCCGTCCTATTGCTTTTGTTGTCCTTCTTTTCCGGGTGCGGGAGACCTGCGTGTCGGATGTTCCTCGCATCCGACACGCAAGTGTCTCATGTCGAGTGTGTGTTTTCCTCTCTCGCAGGGCCATTTGTCAAGTTCCTCCGGGAGAGGGGGCGCCGCTTGCTTGTCCAAAGCATGGCCTGCTCCGCCTTTCTGCCGGCACATCCGCACAGGCAACCCCTGCTCACCCCGACTGACTCCCTTTCCTTTGTGCCGTATTTCCCCCAGACGTTTTCGTTAAGAAGACCGGCAAGGTCACCAAGTTCAAGCTCCGCTGCAGCAAGCACCTTTACACCATCGTCATCCGCGACGCTGCCATGGCTGACCGCCTCAAGAGCACCATCCCCGCCAGTGCGTATCACCCTTCCTCCTCTCGCGCGCGCGCGCCACCTTTTTTCGACAGCGCACACATCCGCGGGGGGGCGGGGCGAGGGCAGTGGGGCGGGGGAGGAGCACGAGCTAGGCCGCCACATGCGGCGACCATCATCAGTCCCCGGAGTTTCCCGCCTTCATCCATTCAATCCCTTTCTCTCTGCCAAGACAGACTAGGGGGGAGGGAGAATGTTGGAGGTGGTGAGGGCGCTGGCGCGTTTGTGCGCGAAGCGCCGCGCGCCGTCCTCTGTGGCGGCCTTGCTGCATATCTCCGGAGCGGGGAGGGGGGGTAGTCCATCCTCCCTTCTCCCCCTGCCCTGCCGCCTTCTCTCTCCCTCGCGCGCCCGTGCCCGACGACCCCCCCCCACGCGCGCTTGGTTGGCTGTGCCTCTTCTCCCCTCTCGAGACCTTTCGCCTCCCTTTCCACTGACCCTCTTTCGTCGTTTCTCACCTCGTGTGTGCCCCCTCCTTTCCCCCTCCTCTCCTCTCGCGCCCCAGGCCTCCTCAAGAACTAAATGCTCGTTCAGAGTGAGAGTCGCACGGCATCCGGACGCCCTTCCCCCTTGTCATGATGCTGTTCTGATGCTCCCCGGCCCTTCTTCAGTTCTTTCTCCAATATAAGTCAACTGCGGCATGCTTTCGCGCTCGCCACAGGCACCCTTCTTCTCCTCCCGAAGAGAGAGCTGTCCGAACTGCCTCGCGTTTTTGTGCCCCTTTTGCTCGCCCTTTTGCTTGCTTCCCTCTCCTCTCCCCCCCTCGCCGCCGCGCCATACGCATGTGTCGCCCTCCTCTCCCCTCCCTCGCGCTTGTCTCGCTAGGCACATAAAGGGAGGGGGGCGGCGTCTTCTCTGCTGTGTTTGAGCAGGTCGCGTCCGTGCGTGCCCTCAGTGAGCGATTGGCAGAGGCACAGAAAGCGCCGAGGATAGGGGAAGCTGCATTCTCTCTCTCTCCCTCTCTCCATTTCAGAGGCAGGGACACGACTGCTGGGAGGAGGACGGTGCCTGCCCCTCCTCTCAAGCCACTCCGTGGGAGGGGGGGAGGTTGAGGCGCGCAAGTAGGGGGGACGGGGGAGGCTCCTTCCCCTTTTTTTTCCTATCGGGCACATTCGGTGGGGGCTGGGATGCCCCCTCCTCTTTTCTTCTGTTGCGGGGGGGAGGGGCGTCTCTCCTTGTCGGTCGAAGGCTTCATTGGCTCATCTCGTAGGCGAGGAGGATTCTGAAGAGTCGTTCTAATCCCTCCTTGCCGCCTCTCGTGTCTTGATGCCTTGTTCAGGTTATCCCAACAGTGGTTGCTCGTCATCCTGGGATCCTGCCCCGTCGCCAATGCCTGCCGTCGGCGTTAGCAGGGAAGATGGTCTTGCCTATTTGTTGGTGGCCTCCAGTTATTGGCGTCTGATAGCCAACGGGAGCATGCGAGGGTGCCTCAAAGCAGAATCACGAAGAAGATCACGCCCCTCACGGACCTTCGGAAATCACGCGAGACAAAGACCAGCCCTCGACGCGCCTACTTACGCAACACCCATCGGTCGCACCAGCCGGCCTTTTCCTGCGCGACTTCCCGGCTATCAGCCCCGGCAAGCACGCTACCCTTTGGTGATCGAGGAGGCATCCTGCCGGAGCGCACTAGGCCTTGGCAACTGTGGGCGGGCCATCGCCCCGAGCCCCGGGCGGAAGGGGGGGCCCCTGTGCCCGGCCCGATTGCTGGTGTCCATCTTTTCCGGCCTCTCCCGGCCGCAAGAGCAAGCCCGTCTGGCGGCTGTCCTGTCTGAACCTGGCGCGGGATCCCTGGGATCTCTCCTCACGCTCGTTCAAACTCCACGGGGGCTCTCTGGATTGCGGGTTCTTTTTGAGATGGGCTGGCATGGCGTCACCGCTCGGCGAGGGCGAGCGCCCCACCCCCTTTTCCCCGTTCCCCTCACCTGTCTCTCCCCTCCTACACCTCGCCCGGATCTCCCGAATTCGCCACACAGGGGAAGGTAGCTTGTCAACTTGCGCTCATTTCCCCCTCCTCCTCTCTTTGCGACCCTCCGGCCGAGCGACACCCGGCTGACTCTCGGGGGCTCCGCCCCTCCCTTTCACACGACAGGCGATCCTTTTTCGGCTAGGGTTCTCCTCCCGTCCGTCGCGTGGGCCCAATTCCAGACTCCTCTCCCCCCTCCCATCCGCCTTCTGTGGTCCCACGTAGGGCCATATTAACTTCCCCAGCCCGACATCAAGTCTCCCAGGCCGTTGGGCATCCTCATCAACATGGTCTTCGGACACGAAATCCCGGTTGAGATTCAGCATCTCATCCTGTCTCACCTTTCGGCGATCGAAGTGCAGGTTCGCATATGCCTCCGACACATGGTCAGGCCGATGGCGCCACACCCCTTCTCACAGTCCACTCTCCATGTCCTCCCGATTCGCGACCTCGCGACCCTCCGGCACAGGCCCTAGCCGAGGACACACTGTCACCCCTCGCCAGCATCATCTTCAGCATTGTACGCCTGCCCCGCCAGTTGCCACCCGCCTCTTCTGCTGCTCACTCCCGCTTGCCTCATGTAACTCCGCGCTTCTCGTTTCAGGACTTCCTGCGCTTCTATTGGTCTCGACGTGTGCGCTTCCCGCTGCCCTACATCCCAACCAACCCGGATCCTGGCTCGAGCGCCGCTCTCGCCACCAGCCGCGCCCTGCTGCAATATATTGCAGTTCATGACCATACCGCAGTGTATGTCGCCCCCTGTCGTCCCTCTTCCCCCGCCTGCCCTGCTCCCAGCCATCCCTCTCCTCACCTTCTCTCCCCCCCGCCATGTCCCTGCCCTGCCCTGCCCTGCCCTGCCCCACCTGGTCCGCTTGATCGTGCTCTTACTCCTGCCTGTAAGGCTCTGGCGCTATGGCTCGCCAGCTCAAGCATCCTTGCACTTTCGCCGGCGCCACTCCTCGGGGGTCATCCAGCGCCAAGTGATCCCTCCACGGGCGCCGGTCGGGCCTGGGGCCGTGTCCCCGCCGGTTGTGTGGGCCTTTGGGCCGAAGATTTTGCAATCGGCCTCCAGCCGTCATCTCAGGAGCATTGCCCTTTCCACGGTGGCCCCCGAGCTGTCTGTCGCTCTTCACTCTGGTGTCCAGGCGAAATCCAGTCCCATCGCCCCTGCTGCCACCCAGACGGTGCCTGAAGTTCCCGGTTCGGCGGCAGCCGTCGTTCCCCCTGCCACCGGGACTGCCACCACTACGGCGAGCACTTGCCAGCCCATTCGTGCCTTTGGCATCAGCATTGAGCATGGCCCGGGACAATCGTCGCTCCTTGTGACTCTCGACGATCTGACCCCCCTGCAACTGACCTTCCCGGATGGTGCAATGGCCATCCATGTGTGTCCCCATACCCTCTCAGTACTCGCCATTCACCGGGAACGCATGGAGTTCATAGCCAGCCTGGGAAGTGTCATCAGTCGACACTTGCAGCATGGCCCAACGCGCTTCCCCTCGCGAGTCCGCCTTCGCAATAGCATCGATTCCCAGCGCTTCCCATCTTTCCGTCCGAGCGTCCCGATTGACCAGGTGGGCTTTCACCCTTCCCGGCCCGGGGCCTTTACCTTTTTCAATGCTTCCGGATCCGTGGTCTTTGCCAGCGAATTCCCCTCCGATCGGCCGACTGCCGTGCGGCCGCCGGCTCGTGCCTGGACTCGACTCGCCACCGCACCGATCCTTCACATGTTCCTGCTCGGGGATGGCCTGGACACCTTCTCCCCACGGGTGCTCAATGAGGCCCTGGTGTATGAATTGTATCCTGGCTGTGATGCCTCCTTCAGCAAGGCCTCCAGAGCTCAACCGCTTGAGACATTGTACCATCCCTGTCGACTGCTTGGCGCTCAGCACCTGCCGGATTCACGCCTGCAGGGGGTCCACTTCTTGCTGTTCCAGCGCGGAGACCCCGAACCAGCCACGACGGATGCCCATGCATCGAGTGGCACCAACATCCACAAACAGAGCCTTGATGAGGTATGCTCCTGGATTGACGTCATGGACAATCAAACCTGCAAGTTAGTGGCTCGTGCGCTCCCCCCCGGGTTTTGCTTTTGTTGTCTTCTCTTGCTCCCTCTCCTTCCTCTCCACTCACTCACTCACTCACTCACTCTCACACACACACACACGCACACGCTCTCTCTCTCTCTCTCTCTCATCACTCTCCTGATTTCTCCTCTATCCCTCGGGGCGGTTTACAGGCCTGGTTCTGCCTGCGCGATGTGTCATTTCTGGGCCAGTCACAATGGCCAATCTCTTCCAATCCACCGAAGATCTTTTCACAGCGGATCAAATGACCCCGGCACAAAACCAACTGGCCCCGCTGCTGGTTGGTGATACCACCGGCAATGTGCATCTCTGGGATTTGGCCTCGGTGCTTCAACAAAACTCCGGGTCGTCTACCCTGCCGATCCCCGCCCCACCCAGGCTTTCTCACCGCCCGGCACAAACCTTCTGGAGTCACAGCGAGAACAGCTCCTTCCCAGTGCGCTTGATTTCCTGCGAGGGCCCTTTCATGCTTGTGCAGCTGGACACTGGAGCGGTCTTCATCCACTCCCTTTTCAATACCAGCCGCTGGATTCGGCACTTTTCCTTCCGGTGCGTTTTGACCAGGTGGAATCCCCCCCCCCCCCCCTCCCCTGTGCATCTGCACCACCACATGACGCATATTCACCTTCCCATGTCCTGTTTGTAGGAGCATTGTCGAGCGCTTGCTCGGCATGAAGAATGGCCCGGGAAACATGGTGCCCGGTTCGGTGCGTGTGTGCCTGACCCCTGGTGGCCAGGGGCTCTTTGTTTCGACCGGTAATCGCATGGCCGCCGTGCGAATGATCCAACCCCAGGATACCCGGACCGTGAAGTCGAAGACTGCCACCGGCGTCCCGGCCGCCGCCACCACCACCACTACCACCGAGCCGTCGGCCGTTTCGTCAGAGCCATCATTGGAGCGCCTGCGCCGGGCGGCTGCCCATCACTCGGCCATGCTCCTGAACCAGGACATCCGCAATGACCTGGAAAGTCTCTCCGAGGAGCGCTTCCATGGAAATGTCGCGGCCCAGCGTATGCAAGGGCGCTTCCTGATTGAGGGTCTCACCCCGGACGAGGCTCTTCAGTACGCCCTCATGCTCTCGATGGAGGAAACCGAGCAAAGGCCACCCAAGCAGGGGAAGCCGTCCGGTCAAAATGCCCATTCAGAGAGCTATTACTCGGAGGATTTCGATGAGCTTAGTACATCGGAGGATCAGCCTGACGACATTACTGGCGAGGGGTCTCGCACTGCGGTCACACCGTCCGAGGCCCCGGGCGCCGCCCAAGCCGCCGAGCAGCGTAGCACTCTCCTGGTTTTGCAATCCATCTCTCCCCAGCATGCTGCCATTTTGCGAGACCTGTCGCCGACCGTCCGGGATGGGGTCTACATTCTGATTCGATATCTCGGTTTGCTGCCGTCAAACATCGATCAGCACCTCCTCCGGGACCTGGTCATTCGAGCCGAGCACCACCAGAGTGACACTTTCTTGCTGGGGCTGTCCCTTGGTTTGCTTCCTTCAAGCAGTAGCAGTGGCGACAGCTGCAGCAGCGGCACCATCGGCGGCGCCGGTGAAGCCCAGACTTCGGCGCCAGGGTTGTCATCGGCCTCCATGCTGGCGCTGGCTTCCACATCAGGAGAGGAGGTTGCCCTGGCAGGAGGATCGCCCAGTCAGCCAGAGAGGCCTGTCTTCCGCCCGGAGGATGGCTGGCTTGAGGCACGCGATGGCAGTGATAGCGACAGCGAGCTACAGCAAGCCATCCGCGAGTCGCTGGCTCTGCATGAAGCCGAGCAGGCCCGAGCTCGGGACGCTCAAACACGAGAGATGTTGGCAAGCACCCAGGAGTTTCCTTCTCTTCAAGAGGGGACAGGATCTGGCGGTCCCAGTGCCGCCGTCGCTGCCCGGGCGTCTGCGTGGTCTGCCATTGCCAAGAGGGCCGGCCCGACTAGGCGCCCATGAAGGCCATACCGGGCGACGGCAATATACTCCCCTTCCTCCTTCGTCGACCCCCTGGGGATTGAACCATGTCCTTGCGAGAAATATACCATCATTCGGCACGCATATGTCTCCCTGTGCTCTGGGCAGCAGTGTGTGTGTGTGTGTGTGTGTATGTGTCGAGGGATGCATTGCATTTGGCATGGAGTGTATTGTTGTGAATGGAAGAGAGAGGCGCATGTGCGCACGTGTATATGTGGTTGCGCAGTCGGGACAATGGCACGAGGGCTCAGCAATGCTTAGAACTGGCGGCCGAGGATATCCTGAAGATGTCACCAGCGGAAATATCGGCAGGTGTGCGCGAGTGTGGGTGAGTGGACGGGAGAGGAGGCACACATGCGGGCAAATGTGTGGTGCAATGTGGGCATGAGTCGCGGAGAACATACGCGCTGGTGGAAGGTGGAGCCAGTAATGCGGACGTCACGCTCCATCAGGTAGAAGTCGAAGTCGGTGATACCGAAGCGGCGACTCTGTGTACATGTGCCCCATGGAAAGGAAATGCAGGGGCAGGATGGGGGGAAAGGTCAGGGACGGGAGGAGGCCCATTTGGCCGAAGGATGTTGGGGGACGCACCTTGCCGTTCTGAGTGAGGCGCTTGAAGGTGTCGAAGAGGACACTGCTGACAAGGAAAGCACCGCCGATCATGACGAAGGCAGGGGCAGCCTCGAGGAAGGGCTGGACACGGAAAACACGAGACATGTCTAGAAAGTGGCCTGAGTGGCGGTGGCGGTGGCACCAACGGCGAGGACGGAGAAATGTGTCAGAGGGAGGCCATTTCAGCAGTTGGG